TACTGAACTAATTAAAAATATCTTTTTCTAATATTATTTTGTATAATGTTACAAGCTCAATATAGAATACTTTTAATAAGTCGTTTCATTTTCCATAATTTTAAGGTCGCATTTAGATCTTTATATGGAACCCTATATTTTCTCTATCTTTTAGTGAACAAAGAGACGAACAAAAATTCAATTTCACTGGAATGAATAATTGTTAGACTGTAAATCTTCATACAAAATCACGTTAATTTGTAGTATATACATTTACCCCTACATATCTATTCACAGTCATTTACATGCGTATCCCTATGTTAACCCTTTCATTCCCAAATTATTTAAAAATTACCAAAGAAATATTTTGTTGTATTTGTGTGTACATTAGACGACATATAAATGATTCACAAGAACATTTAAACAATTGAAACCGTCTAATGCCGTTTTTCATATGTTGCCATGTGACAACTATTTTACTTTTATCACAGTTATATGTAATATTTCTCAATATAATATTATTATTCATAATAGAACCCAATTTTTCTTATCTTTGATCAATGGACCCCTCTTGAAATATTTGATAGAAATTAAAAGTAACATAATGTCTTATTTTGCCGATAAGCTTTTAAAATATTTTAAACGTTCAAATTTTTGCCATGCTATCTATACAAGGCTAGAAGAAACTATTATACATATACTCACAGATATGAAAAAATACATGATACCAATATTATAGTTCATAATTTAGAATACGTAGCCATATGGCAACAGTGGGTACGAAAGGGTTAAATAGAATGATATTTCTATTCTTAACGCCTTATCGCCGGATGAGGCTATACGGCGTCTAATCAAATACTACCTTCTATAATGGAAAACTAAAAATTAAATCAGATTAATATCCTTTTCAAGAAATCCCGTCTTAGCTTAAGTGATCAGCGTAATAGCCCCGTCATTAAAAATGAATTATTAAAAGCTCCGCTGAATTTTCATTGAAGGTTCTGTTTCGTTGTATTTAATACATTCGTGTAGCTACAACTGTATAATGTTCACAGTCTAGTAATTATAGTTCATAGAATCTTTCACGTTCGCGTGACAGAGCTCCATCCAAGCTTAAGGGAAATAGTTGTAGCTCGAAAAACGAGGTCAAACCGAGCGGTTTTGTTGCATTTGCAAGGAACTAATTTCTGCGAATAATACGACGATCACCGGTCGCCGAACGTGTGCTCCGTTCATGTGACGCAAGTCGATCCAATGTAACTATCGCAGCCCGGGCGACACAGTTCCGATACAATGTAGCAAGCAACTCGGATACTTCGAGGCGATACTGCACGGATACTACCGGCGTCAAGTCTGTTTAACTGTGGCCTAACATCGGTTGTTCTAATGCACCGTGTCTGAGCTGCAACTTAACTGGAGAACGCCCGGACTGTCCCTTCTACGTCGTAAGGGACGAAATTACGTGGAATCTTATCGTCAGACTAAGGATCTTCACGAAAACATCAATTTTCTACTACTTGTAACCTAATTTACTATATGAATTTAGATTTCCATACGCTAAAGGTTCCAAATAAAATGAACATTGTTGGATTCCAAGTAAAGAAATATTAACAACACTTTCTTTAAACTTAACAAGAGGGTTTATTTCGAACGATTGTATCCAAATGAATGAATATAATGTATGTATGGCTAATAGTGTGTTTGACAGCGAAAATACGAATGCCCCCGGATGGATTCAAAGTAGAATAATCAAAAAGATATATATTATATTGGCATAAACATCCACAGTCGAGTTGTCATACTTTGTTTATTTATCTTGCCAAATCATGGCTTTATGTTACAACCTTAATAATATTGAAAGTTTTACGATCACTCCGTTTATTTGAAACTATTTAACACATGGACCGCCACAGTGGTAAATGCCGTATGGAATCAGACACACTTTAATTCGTTTCTTAAATCATAAACCATCAAAAATATATGCATTTGGCTAATACAGGCTGTTAGTTTTGTTTTAAATTATACTTCGATATTAATTTTACGCAAATATTTTGTAACAGTGTTCAAATGATCCAGCCTCTTTACAATGTACGTCTCACTCATATTTGACGTAGCAGTGAAAGTGTCATTAATTCGAACGTAACCGATGACCGACATTCAGTTAAAAATTAATTCTTTTTATACTATGTTATTTTTCGTAAAATAGTCTGTGAAAATGGAAATTTACATAAACATCCTAAACTGAGCAATTATAATCGTAAATAAGATTGTGCCTCACCAATAACCGACTTATACTACTTGCGCCTCATTTCCCTGCCGAAATTAGTCGCTCTTTAGATCGTCGTTCGAATAAGCATAAAATGACCTGTTCTCCAACTCTCGCTCATTTCCGGGCAACGGGGCCCCTGGTTCGATCTATTTGTCAAAGTTTCACGGCAATTTAAAATGTTCCGCTTTAAACTTATCGGCCTCTGGCCGCGAGCAATTTCGTTGACTGTTCATTCGCACGTCACTGGAACTGTTCAAACATCCAGGCCAGCTAGCAGGACCATCACCGCCAACAATTTTGTTTAATCGCTACCTAATGCCTCTAATGTCTCGATCTATACCTTTATCTGTCTAAGGAAATTGCAGTATAGTTCTCCCCCGTGGGCCACATCGAGCGTAAAACTCGATTCCTATTACGAGCAACTCATCCCCGTCTCGCTTTGACGTCCCTTGTACAAGTGTCGAAACGATCAATCGTTGGACCTTGATATTTTATGGTGCCCTCGATCGATCCAATTTTCGGTTACTGCTTCTAATTACTGTATTATACAATTCTGTTTAACGTTACGTCATAATATTTCAAAAATTTCAAGGTTTTTATTGTGTCTGACTGACACTCATGCACCAATTCACATCTTAAAAATATAATTAACACTAGAACTGGCGAAGACGAATGTGTTTGCATTTCTATCGTGTTGATAAAAGGAACAGCTTGTTGAAAGTATACAAACTGATAAATTTAACGAACTTCTTCATTTATATATTGCAATAAAAATTGCGGAGAATCGCAAGAAATTCACTGTTATGATATTTTAATTATTTCATAAGAGTTCACAAACCAATCCATTTTGACTGCTTTGGTAGTTCTAGTGTTAATAACCTTGTAGGAGGTGTAAGAACAAAGTTTGGAGTTTATCAGTTAGTGTGTTATCAGATGTCAGGATTTGCTGCCAGCACGAATAGATGGTTATTAAATAAATGGTCATTCTTAGAGAATGACCACGCAACCGGTTGTACCACGATATTTAGGACACCCTGTACTTTGCCTCACAATTAAAAGAATAATAAATTGCCTATTAGTACACCTAATAGAGTCTCCAGTTTTTCTAACCCCACTGCGAATAGAGTAAATTTATTTTTAGGATAGTTTCATTGGTTCAAATTTTTATCTTTACGGGGCGGTCAAACAATTAACCGTGATAGGATTTATCAAATGGTATTTGGAATATGCACAAACAGATGGATAGAATCCGTAAGCTTATTACAGTGTGGACCGCAGTGTTTGATTAAGATTTCTCTGTGCACACCGCACTCGCGATCTAAACGTTCCATGATAATCAATAAACACTAATAATTGTACAAACTACGTATTCGTCCTCGCTACTGTTTGTCAATTGTGTTCGCATCTGTTGTCCTACACAAATTCCACCACAATCGTGTATTCAGAAGAGATAACCTGGAAGCTATGCAGAGTACTGAGACATTCACGTCCAATAAATAACATTAAAATTATTTAAAATATGACTCGAGCATGTTTATACAAAGTATTAGATAGAATACCTCGATCCAAAGGTAAAAATAACAAGAATGATTTCAGTAACAACACAAGATTGAAGTAAAAGATAATAAAATTGTATACCTTAAGTTTTCAATTAAGAAAAATTCTAGACGAGTAAAATTTTACAGAAAACATTTATGATGAACACCACGTATATTACAGTGTATCTTAAATAGTACAATTTTCTAGTTATACAGTAATTATTACAATTTTTCCATAAAAAAACTAATAAATAGACCGTGTATTTTATCCATTCATTATACACATCGGTGCACAAAGTCAATAGAACCGAAACTGTGAGAGTCTTTTTGTTAAAGAAATTAGTTTACTATTAAACAGAATCTACAAAAGAAAATCAATTTTCACGTATCTCTAATTTCCAAAAATTAATCTACGAAAATTCAGATTTCCATGGTCAGTCTACCAATGACGTTTGCTCCGCGAACACAAGACTTGCACGAGACAGGATATTTTCAAAGAACCGGGCAACAATTTCTTCGTGACGTAATTTTACACAGAATCATGTCCAGCGTGGTTTTGTTTCTCTTTTCCCCGTGCACCTAATTCTCATGCAAAAGTCTCTATATACTCTTTCTTCTTTTTCATTTTTTCTTTTTCAAGTTTGCGAGTGTTGCACGCGAAACTCTTGTCGGGCCCTTCGCAAAGTTGCGCCGACAAGGCAAGCAAAGCGTTTCATCATCATCCAACAAAGGCTATTCCGCCGCATGCCAGCTACTTTGATCGTCTCAGTTTCAGCCGGACGCGAACCTCGACCGGAATAAAGAGAGAGAAAAGACGGGACTACCGGGTGACTCGTTGCTTAATACAGCTTAATCCTTTTTAATTAAATGCGCCGTTCGATCATCCCTATCCGGACCTAAAAAGTACGCGGCTGAAGGACGCCCCACCTCCAAGACTTTTACGAATGAGCGCGTAATTGCCGTTGTCCCCTTTGCGGATAACGACGGCGATATTTAAACGCTGCTATGATTCTTAATAAGTGAAATTCAAAAAAAAATGTATGGTTAATAATTTCTTATAATAATCATTGCCACTGTTTTTCTATGATCACAAGACGCTTGTAAAGATTAAAATCCTATGATTTGTTTGACTAGAAAATAAAACTGCTTCCGAATTTTTAAACGGTACTGTACATGTTACGATTACAATATGTATTAGGTAATGTAACACTTACCGCAACCAATGTCTCTTCGAGATCGGTGTATGACAGCAAATGGCATCATACTGATCAGCCATCCAGACGATTAATATGATGTAAAAGGCAGTCGTGGTGTCGTTGAAAAATTCTGACATAATCGCCTCCATTCCTGCAACAAAATACCCGAAACATCTACATTTAGTACACTTATACACTCGTGACTACGTTATTATTTTCAGTTTCAGTAATCTTTTATAATATTAAATTGTACCGCATGAAATTGCCGTTTCTATAAATCGAAACAAAAAGGCTGTTTTTTAGAAAAATATTTTTAATTGGTCGCACCATAACGATTAAAATAACATTCTACAAATGAAATATTATTCAATATATTCCATTTTTCTGAAAATTCGTATTTTCAGATTGTATGATTTTTGCAAACCCTGAAGCTACTGATGCTCGATTAGGGGTTTTGCTGATCATAAGAAGTGATCTTTTATTGAGGAACATATTCGAAACTATTCCTTTGATATCATATTGTTTACGTGTCGTCATTTTAATTTTAGATTTTAAATTTTGGAGATAAATCGATCGAATGAATATGGCAGCTTTTGATGAACAAATCTATCTAACAGTTAAGTTGTAAAAGTTATGATTGCGTAATTAATACAGGATTCCTACCATATGTTAAGTGACGAAATAATATAATACCGAGCTGTTAAGTTTATTGGATAGAAATTTCCCTTTCGATGCTTTCGGGCCTCCGCTGTTTAAGGATTCCCTCAACCATAATCGAAAATTTATACGCGGAATCGGATTCTCGCGCAGCGAATCGATCTCGTGGGCAAGAAACATGGAGCAGGATTAATCTTACTATGTAAGAAAATGCGTCTAGACTCGCGGATTTGAAGATTTGCATACGTGAATTTACACACGTTCATGTTTGTAAAACGTTTCGGTATCTCTGCATGAAAATTTTGTCAGACACCTACTAACAATCGTTTAACCCTTTAACGGTTAAAAAATTCAATAATATAAGAATATTATTAATACAAACTTTAAAAAATTCGTAAGTGAAGAAAATAGACGAAAAAAATACCTTACACTATTCGATTCCTTTATTCTAATGAAAGAATTATACTTTTCAATTTTTACTAGAATTTACATTTTTATAGCAAAAGGTATTTTATTTGTTCACATGACCAATACACTCGTCAAACACCATTAAAGAGTTAAAATGTTCAAGTGATGACAGAAGCTAAAGTCTAATTAATTACGAAATTCTTTGGTTAGTTCCTACGATAAACGAGGAGGAAGTATGTCTGACAAATCACGGGCCGTTTTCACTTGTTAGCTCACTGATAAGCCTACATAAAAGAATTGATCGTATTTTTATCAAATATTGAATTTACCCCTCATTTTCTATGATATTTTGAAGCAGTATGTTCTTCCCGCCTACAAGTCCATTTACTTTTTTTTTTGTTTACCCTCAACTTTATACTATTTTAAATCATTTGTAAGAAAATGTACATACAGTTGCAAAGGATGACGAACTACCGATTTATCAATACTGTTTTCACTATGTGCCAAGACAAAAATTACTTGCAGTTCACTCTTAAATCATTAAACTACGCTTTGTACAACAGTCGTAAATAAACAATTTCTAACATGCTATTATACTAAACGCAATATTGTCAATTGATAATAACAGTCAGTGATCTACATATATCTACATTTTTTCTTGGTAATAGTGTTGGTAAAACCTGCTGCGCGTGGAAAAGAAATTCGGCATGTGCGTGTACCTCGAATATTGCGTAAAGTAAAGACATAATTTACACGCAACGAATACAGGTATTGCAGTTTGTTTCAGTTAGACGTGCAACACGATTAATGTTGAATATACCGTGAAATTATCCAAACTAGCTGTAACTTACGTTTAAAAACCAGAGAATTCAGTTACTGTTAAATGGAAGGCTTTTAGCACTGCGGCAACCAGGAATTTAATTAACAATTTATTAATAGAAACAGCAGCGGATTACTGAAATTATATTTCGTTCGGCAATCTTAATTAAAAGCCTACATGTACAAAAAAGAGTACTATAATATTACAGAATATACTATTCGATCGAATTAAAAGAAAATTAAAGACGAGAAAAGTTAAATTCGAACAATTATTTAACAAATTCTTAAAAACTAGAATTTGCAGAATAAAAATAAATCAAAAGAAACATCTCCATCTCTCATTGTCAGACACAAATAGCGGTCGATCATTTTACTTTCTATTTACCTAATACACAAAAGAGTTAAAAATCAAGAACCAAATTTCGGTGAACTGTTACACAATTAAATACAGATCTATGATTCTTTTATACCTTTCAATTATTATACACTACAAACAGTTTACTTCTTTATTCTCTTATTTTATAAATCTTTCATTGACACTACACCTCTCCCATTAGTAGTTTTATTCAATTTAAAATAACGTAACCACTTTGATTAATATTTTCTTCGTTTTTATGTATAAAGCACACACCATGAATGTTTAAAAATTCACCAACCACTAATACGATGCAATGATTTCATCTACCGAATGAAAAATATAACCTCAAGTTATATAAATATAACTTCAAGAATATTCGTTTGATCCAATAGCATCGAAATGAATTAAGGTGGTCAAAGTATGTTGTTCACGGTTTATTTAAGGCGTTTCGTGAATACCTGATTTACGCTTGTCCCAAGGTGGACGATTAGTGCGTCGGTTGAATACGGTTCACAATTTGCATTGTACGACAGAGAATGTATGCATGCAAGGCAGCTTTTGATGTTACACCTTGTCCCTAAACATATGTGCTCAGTTTGCCACCTGCACCGGTATATAACACTCTATGGTGCACGTTCTCATATGTGCATATAACGTATATGTACAAGATTCACAGTATTCTTCCATACACGACACGTTTATGCGAGGAAGTGCACAAATTGGAGGGAGCCTTAGAGTAACGATTTTTGTGCATAAAATATGAGGTCCGACGTATCTATCGTATATGCTGGTCTGCAAAATGTAGCGAGTTATTTTTAAAGTATCAAAGTTGATCGATAAATAAAAAATAAATAACCATTTATTTAGTAATAACATATCACTTTTAAATCTCACTCAACAAATCTTTAACCAATTCACAGTTTTGCCGTCTGTACTTTTCTGTTTTCATGAAATTGGCTTTTTTAGATATTTTATTGGAACAATATATCAGACATGACTGGTACAAATAAACTTACAGCAGTTTAAAAAAAATATAATTTGCGATTCCATTTAACAATCTCAAACTTCTTCCGACTAATTCATGAGAATATTGTACTGTATCGACTTTATTACTATAAATATGAAAAGAAAAAAGAAAAAAGACATCCATCTATAGCTGAAACTAGCTTTAACCAGGTTTTCCTCAAAATTGGATAGACTATTTTCAAAAAAAAGAAAAACAAGAACTGCAAAAATATCAATCATATCGGTTACGAAATAAACCCTTCGGTTTCGCGATACGTTCTATTTTCGAAAAAATATTCACAGAAATTTAATTAAAACAGCCAGAAGAATGTTTTTGTAAAGGGACTTAATAATACCGTTTGATTGTCCTGGGCTCGTCGTCGCAGCGCACGAAAAAACCGGGATTATTAATTCACACATTCGTACGACCCGGCCGGGACGGTTCCAGCGTGTGGTGGGGGCAAGGCGGGGGTGGTTCGAGGTTTAAAAATAACGAAACAACTCGTTGCGGATCGATACACGCAATCGTCCGCTATCAAACCCGCGGACCCGTCCTATTAATCGAATAGTTTCCGCACAATTAAAAGAGTTCGTGGTACACGGCGTGTGCGCGCGCGAGAGTCTCATCCCTTCCCCTTCCATGTAAATTTAATACCGTCCCACGGGCCATTATACAGTTAAAACGACACGTTCGACGCATTCCGCCGGCGGTTTTTATTGTTCCGCAAGCGTTGAACGTTAAATCTCACTTATCGGGTGAAACATCGGCCAAGTTATTTCACTTGAAACGGCTCTTCGTCAAACTAGCCGCGACGGAGAATTATGTATGTAACGGGGCGACGAATGAACGTAACGAGAATATACCACGGTATTATGATATACCTCACCAAATAACCAACGATTTGTCGAAAATTAAAAATATACAGTCGAAAACGCAGCGTATGCATTTGGGTGGCTTTTATTTACTTACTCTTGATGAAGATGTTTATTAACTTTTCGTTTCGCGCCGTCCTTCAAAATAGTTCCAATTAATAAAAAAATAATGTATCTGATTTTTGAACCCGATCGAATAAAGGGAAAAGGAACCCTTGGGTCCTTAAACGGTTAAATAATTACTTAAACGCACAGATAGTCGATTTTATTCGATTATCCTCTAAGTTATTGATTATATTAGAAAACATGTCAAACAAAAATTGTACATTTAGAGAAGGAGCATATTTTATGTTCTACTAGGTTTTTTCGTGTGACAAATGTAAAATAAATAGGAGATACAGCTCTAAAATGATACAAATACAGAAAAATTTACATCGTCAGAATAAGTGAACGGATATTTTAATCCATTAAAAATTAATTCCTCAGATTCATTGCGACCGATTCTTAACTGGATCGTAGTCACAGGTAACAGAGTTAATCTATTAGAAGAAAAGTACTGTACAGCGTAGTGTGCACGCTGGCGTGCTTCCTAATGAATTGTAACGATACAAAACCCCCGGGGGGCCAGGCGGAAATACTAAAAGTATTCCAGGGCGTGTCGTGGCCCAAGTCACGAAAGTGCAAAGCGGCCAGACTGAAATATGTCGTAGAATGAATAATGAAAACGCTAAACATTTTCTTGCATTTAAATCACCGTAATATATTTCAACTAAATCCCTTGGAAGTTGACTTTTTTCTCTAGGTAGAGAATTTGTTAATCTGAACTTTATTTTTTTAACACTGAATCAATACTGCATGGAACGCAGATAGGTCTGATAATTATCCTGCAGTATTCGTACAAACTAATGGTGTCGAACTAAATGTGTCACCTTTCATTTGATTTTATCACCGCCAGCGTACTATCCGGTATATTACGATATTTTAAAAAATATCGTATCAAAGGAAAGTTATAAATTTTTTAGTCTAGTGTC